CAAGGCTGCGCGATGGCTGCGGTTGTTTTGGGCGGGGCCACCCCCTCTAGCAATGCCCGCCTGGGCATGCATTTCCTCCCCGGCTATCTCCTATCTCCGGGGCTCTTCCCTGCGCCTCCGCCAGGGCGCCTCCCTCCGCCCCGGCCGCCGCAAGTGGAGGAGCGGGTGTGGGCAGTAGGTAGGGAGCGGGGTGCGGGCGGGGTTCGTGCGGGCGGTAGGGAGGGGGAAAAAGGAGATCTTCCTCAGTTTCTCTTTGGAGAACTGGGTATAGCGGCGCCGTGGTTTTGGTGTCAATTTGTCCTCTCCGGTGGTCTCCTCTGGTGGTTCTTTCATGCACTGCTAGGACTGCCGCAGGCGGCTGTTTCTGTGGAGGCAAAAAGGGCTTGATCCAAGAGGGAGGGTTCTGCACCAGGTCTTCCCAGGTAACGATGTATGGTTCCTGGTCAGGGTGTCTCGTTCGGGGACAAAAAACAATTTTTCTAACTCTTTTGACTGTTTCTAGGTCAAATGTGTCCTCTGGTGGCTAGTTTACCTTAAAAGTTGGCCATTCTGATCTGCAAAGGGTGATTAACTTTTTCTTTTTAATTTCTAAATTCAAATTATGTGCTCGCTTTCTAACTTCCCCGAAATGACTTGTTAACAAGGAAAGGGGGTTAGTCACATTCTGTCCCATCGTCTCAGTCCAAGTCACACAACAGACAAACAGACACAACAGACAAGCAAAAAGCATGGGATGACGGCCTCACGCTGTACCGCAGGAGTGACCCGCACTGTCCCCCTAGGAGTCCCACAGACTCGTACTCATGGGGCACTCCGTCCCCTCCAGAAGGATCCCGGAACGTCTTCCAGGATCCCGGGTCGGTGGCCCTCGCAGCACGTCCACCTAGACCGTTTGTCGACCTTTCCAGAAAATGGGCCCCAGACCTTACAGACACAGAAACACTCACCAGCTGGCATCAACCCTCCGGTACGGAAATCCTGAGGGTCTTGGGGATCCCGGACGAGCCCCCAAATGTTGTGCCCAGATCGCAAAGTCCCCAGAGACCACCAAGGAGCCGTTTCCGATGTAAACACACGAGGGTCGTTTATTTAAGCTCCAGCAGGGGCACTCAACCGTCACCGATGCAACGGATCAGGATTGAGAGCCCCAAATTCCAAATCAGCAGGGTTTTTATTGTGGCTACCGCAAGGTTTGGGGATGTTCCATTTAGCAGTTATATGATTGGTTGATATTTAGCAAGCATGGGGGGTTGAGGGGTGGCTACATGTAGAGTTTATGGGAAAAAGGAACAATCAGGACATTGACAGAATATTCTATAGATAATGGGCCCGGGAGCATCTGTTTTCTGGGCAGACAGAGGACTGAGTTAGGAGCTGTGTCTCTTTTTTATCTGTTG